TATATATATATATATATACCCACACACACAAATGCATGCACATAAGAGAGTAATACAAGAAAACACGAAATACAAAAATCTTTAATAATGCGGGTATATAACAATAATAATGACTTTAGATTCCTACTGTATATATTAGATATCTATTTTAATATTTATATGATAATGAATAATTCTAACATCTCTAACATCATGGAGCTTCACTATATGGATATTATTGATGATTCCTTTTCAAATGTCACTTACGTCTATATTGAGATGTTGATCTTAATTCATCCATATTGAGGTGTTGATCTTAATCCGCATAAGTGATTGTTAGTCTTTTGTTTGATTCCAACATCTAGAAACATTTTACTATTGTATACCTTTTTGTCCTTGTACTCTGATTAAAATTTCTAAAATATCTTATAGAATGAAATAGTCTTTCTAACTTTAAAAGGTGGGTCTTTTGCTAGGTCCCCCTGGATCTGGAAAGGGTACTCAGTCACCAATTATAAAGGAAGAATATTGCTTGTGCCATTTGGCCACTGGTGATATGTTGAGGGCTGCCGTTGCTGCTAAAACTCCTCTTGGCGTTAAAGCTAAAGAAGCTATGGAGAAGGTATCACTTGCATATATAATAGGATTTGCTTTATTTATAGGAAAGAAAAAATAAGATGGGAAGAGGAATATTTATTCTCCACCAGTTCTCAATTTTTTCTTGCTTCCTCCTAGTTATATTTGATGATCTCCAGGGAGAGCTTGTTTCTGATGATTTGGTTGTGGGGATAATTGATGAAGCCATAAAAAGGCCATCATGTCAAAAGGGCTTCATTCTTGATGGCTTCCCTAGAACAGTTGTTCAGGCAGAAAAGGTGGTGTTCTATTTTCTTTGTAGATTCATAAATTAGCAAGGCATGCCAATCCAGAATAGTTACCCCAGCTGTTTGTTTTGCTTTCCTACTTAACTGGATTTTAATTAATTCTACATTCCTTTTCTTTGCAGCTTGATGATATGTTGGCTAAGCAGGGCACGAAAATTGATAAAGTGCTTAATTTTGCGATTGATGATGCCATTTTAGAAGAAAGAATAACTGGTCGTTGGATCCATCCATCAACTGGTAGAACTTACCACTCAAAATTTGCACCTCCGAAGGTCCCTGGTCTTGACGATGTAAGTTATAATCGGCTTTCTTCTTTCCTAGTATCTTCTGCTTTAAGCATTCTGTTTTTTTGAAGTGCATCATAGTCTCTTTATACTTTTCGAGTAAAGCTGACACTACTGAACTTTGTTGCAACTCTTTTGTTTGTCTATATAAATATATGTATAAACACACACAGATATATATAAATCATTGTTTTATACAACTGTTGTCTGATTTTCTGGTTTGATGGTAGGTATTTTGTTTTCTTTCTGAGATTTTATTAAGGGCTAAACTATGCATGCTCTATTGCAAAATATGAGTTTGCTAAACATTGATTAAGTGATTTTATGTTATGTTGACGGATTTGTTCTTATACATTTTAATTTGATAGCGTTAGAATAGTGTTGTTAAATGGCTTTTTACTGCACTACTCCTTAATTGACCAATTATTGTATCGAGTGGCATGTTTTTATATTTTTCAGTTTCAAGCTATTCAATGAACCTATGACATTTCAATAATTTTATAATACATAGCAATATCATTGTAACATTATAACTTGTATGTTACATTAATTGTATTTTTACCAGAAAATAAAACTTGTCAATTTTATTTTCTTCATCTGATAGCATATGCTTCATAATCTCATTGATCAGACATTTTTGCAGCCGTAGCATACATTTTCTTAGTTCCTGTATGTGTAACTTTGTTCTTTAACAAATTGCATTACGAAAATGGATCTCATTATATGATCATTAATGTGCATTGTATAATTTTGATCATTGTTTTGTGCTGCATCTTTTATTTAATTACTTTTTTTGACCTTTTTAGATATTATGACCCATTGCCATCCTTTTTTTCAGGTTACTGGTGAGCCTCTAATTCAAAGGAAAGATGATACAGCTGCTGTTCTTAAGTCCAGGCTTGAAGCTTTTCACAAACAAACTGAACCTGTACGCTTTAGTTCATCTTTTCTAAACATCTCAACATTCTTTTTCATTTGCATTAGAATTCCGAAAAAAGTTCATTCATACATCTGTTTTACTTTGTTATTCTACGCCAATTCTAATATCCATCAGACTTGCATTAAATTACTTTTATAGCAAGGTACGCTAATGATTCTTTATTAACGCCGTTTATTTATCTTGACTGGGATGGCAGTTTCTATGCTATGGTATTGATAGCTTGAAATGTATAAATATTCCGGTTCTCATTTACTTTGTAAAAGAGATGTTTTAATGACAGTTATTTATAATCTTATTGTGTGACCATATTCTTACTTTTAGAAAGTGCTCTTTTTTGTATAATTAATAGAAATACCTTGCAATAGGGTTTATTTCAGAAGGTTCCTCAAACTTTAACTGTGGTCTTCTAACATTATTAGTCATATTTTTTTTTTTATAATTAATAGAGATACCTTGCAATAGGGTTTATTTCAGAAGATACTAAGTATGGTTGCTTGCAAAATGATTCACCTTAACTTACAGAATTGACTACCTAACAGATTTTTGCTCTAGTTGCAAAAGTTATACAATTCATGTCTTTCTCTCAATGTTACCTAATCTATATTGCCCTCTTTACCAATTATATGCTATTAAATCATTCCTGAATGGAGACTTGAATGAGGAAGTCTTAATCTGGCTTAATTTACTCCTAGAGCTCCAAGTGATGGTAAAAAATTCTATAATATTAAATCATACAACTACTATCAGGGAAGCTTACAAATTAGTCCATCATAATTGAACTAAATATGCAGAGATCAAAATTTTATTAAAGAAAAAAATGAAAAGGGAAATCTGTTTGTTACATATATTTCTTTTGTCGAATAAATTACAGGCACGTCCACAAGATTTATAAGGCACCTATATGGGAAAAAAAAGCTATTTTATCATCAATATTTGGAGTATCACAAGATAGAAATATTGCTAGCAAGATTAATGTTCAGCTAGCAGTTTTCCTCCCTAGGTGGCATGTGCATTGGCCTTGTTCTTAGGTGGTAGGTGCACTTTCTGTCTTCTTGATTTTTGACAAATTTTCATCGATGGAATGCAACGGGTGGTGGCATGTCTCATGACGGTCCCTCTTGGTCAGACATAAGGTGTTACATAAATGAGTATAGCATAGTTGATTGAATCTGTCATGATCACACATCTAAAACTCTAGCCAACAAATTTTTTGTGAGTGATCAACTTAATCATCTGAATAAGCCAAATATATCATGTCAATTAATTCCGAATTCATATAGATCTAATATTTAACATAAGCTAATTGAGTGGAAGCATTCTATAATATTCAGTTCATTCAATCGTAGAGCTTCTAAGAAATTTCAAAGTAAACTAACTATAATAAACTTTCATTTTATATATTATCTTATTATGACTGACAAAACTAGCCTTAAATTTCCATAATTGGTCCAAACCTTAATACTCACTTAGGCTTAACTTGTATTTATCATTGCTTGAGACAATAGTTTGTCTGGTGAGCTTAAAAGCTTAGTAAGATAAATAACTCTAAGAAATAGTTCAAATATCAAAGACAAATAAATAGCATAATATGTTAATTGTAAATTAGACATAAGTATTTAATTCATAAAAGTACATAATGCTGGTGCATTACATATGTTCACTACAAAGAGGAATTGCTTGAATTAAATATTGTATGATAATAACTGATGTAATCTTATTAACAAAAATATTTAGAAGATATATTTAATGCGCAATCATAATATGCACTATGCTAGTCAAACATATATGTGTGAACATAAGAGACTAGACTTTTCATAAAATTTATTTATATAGTTCATTTGTTTCTTAATATGAATTATTTTACTTTTAGCTTATAATAAGTCATGTGTGTTGGTCTAAGTTTATTGGTTATAATAAAGTCGTGGACTATATCAAGCCCATATAATATAATGTATGATGGAGAATCTATCCTGAAAGCTACATATTTATGACCTTTTTACCTCCATAAAGGCTCACCATTGTTTTCTTTATTATATAGGTCATCTTAAACATATTAGTTTGAGGATCATTTTACCTTCATAAGGGCTCACCTTTATCGCCTTACCTGTACAATTCATCATAAATATATCAATTTGAGGACACTTTAGCCTCAAATAAGGGCTCATTTTTGTTGCCCTCCTTATACGGGTTATATTTGCATATTAGCTTAAGGATCTTTTTTTTAGTTTTAAATATTCTTTAATAGGGCTTACTAAACATTTTAATATTATTTTGAAGACTAAAAATATGTCAGATAAGTGGAGTATATTAGTTCCTATTTTTAAGAATAAAGTTGATTTTTGAGCATGTGAATTATAGAGGAATTAAGTTAATGTATCATACTTTAAAACCATGGGAGAGTAATTGAGCATAGGTTATGACGTGATACTAATGTTTCTCAAAATCAATTTTGATTCATGTCGGGTAGGTCTATTATGAAACTAGACATTCATTTAGAGGTTTGATTGAGAAGTATAAAGAGATTAAGGAGGATTTACTTATGATATTTATTGATTTAGAGAAACATATGATAAAATTCCAGGAGCACTGCTCTAGAGTGTTCTAGAAAGTATGGATTTAATAATGCTTATATTCAAATTATTAATGATTTGTATAGGAGCTATTACTTGTGTTCAAACATAAGGTAGTTTGATCAATTATTTTTCTATTTCAATTGGATTACATAAAGGATCAGCTTTAAGGTCATAATTTTTGCTTTAGTTATGGTTGTTCTTACTAGACATTTGGAGTGGAGGAATACATTGAGCTTGTTATGTGATAGAAATGTATCCCTCAAACTTAATGAAAAATTCTAGAAGATGGTGGTGAGACTTGTAATACTTTATGTTGTAAAATGTTGTCTATTAAAAGGGAAGCATAAAGTTAAGTATTGTAGAAATGAGGATGCTTAGATGGATGACTGGCTTTACACTTAGGGATAGAATGTGAAACAAGTATATACAAGAAAATCTTGGAGTAACTCCAGTGACAAATAAGATTAGAGAGTCATCTTAAATGGGTTGGTCATATAAAATGTCGTCCCTCTGATGACCAGATTAGGATAGTAGTGTATTAGATCTGACATTTGTTAAGAAATATAGAGGTAGACTTAAAAAGGGTTAGAAAGTAATAAAAATTACCCTTTTTAATTAGATTTAAATGAGTATTTGACTCTTAATAGGATACAATGGAGAAGGATTTATGTAGTTGATCTTTCGTAGAGGGATAAAGGCTTGATATTATTGTTGTTATAAATATTTTCTTTAATCACTTAATTCTATTTTAAATCTCAATTTTTATTTTAATTTTTAAAAATTAAAAATTATTATTATTGAATGTATCATTATAAATTCTAAAAATTATTATTTAGTGGTTTATGTCTGGTTAATTAAATGACTATTGTATTTATATAATCTGTATGTATGGTATATATAAATCTAATTTTATTTTCCAAGTATTTGCTAAATACATAAGTATTTAAATTTGATAATTTTATATTTTTACTTGAAGAGATACTTTTATGTTATTTGGTCACAAGCATCGCATTCACCATTTATTTGATTTTCAAGTTGAGATTCAGAGAAGATGTCACTATGTGTAAGTTTGTTTTTAAGAGAATGTTGGAGACTAGCCATAAGAGCTTCATTTTCCGCTTAATTATTTTTTACTTGAAAGTAGACTTGATGGCTGAGATAATATGATACCTACATGACTCTTTAGAACTCTTCAATTCTGATTCCTAAGTGCTTAAGACGCCATCAACATTGAGAAACCATAACAAGTTATGTTGGTCGGAATTCTTCTTTGTTTGACTTCCATAAGTGTTAAATCGGCGTAAAGTCATCCAATTGTTGTTATTTAATTGCAACTCTTAGCATTAAGAGTTTTATTTACCATTTTAGAAGTGAGCCAATGTGTTTAGACCTTGAGAAAATAGATTTTAACAGTTGGATAATGATACTTGTATTGTTTGAGCATTAAAAATATGGAGGAAATTGCCGGATAGTGAAAACTAGCACCTATGCTTGTTTATCCATCATAGGATAACATAGCTCATCTCCTCAAAAAATTTTACTTACATTGTACAATGTTTATTGCTTTTTTACATCTTTGATAAGAATAGAGCTACCTCCTTGCTTATGTTTAGATAAAGTAGCAAGTTGTCACTTGGTTATGAGCTTTGGAGAAAAGGTGATAAGGAGAGGAGGCTTCAAATGTTTAAAATCTTTGGTTACAGTTGCTAGTATAGTTGAGGTGTTTGGCACTCTTAAGAAGAAGGGTGAGCACTTTTCTTAAGCAACTATGACTTACCATTTGATAGTACATCTGTGAATCACTTTTTTTTTTTAAATTCATTGAGGCGACATCTCCAATATTGACTTGACTTTATTTGGACTCATTTTGGTGCCCTCGTGAGTTATGTTGGAAGCCTATAAACTTTTTGGATCCAACTTTGTAGGTACACTTTAGAGAAATCTAGCACATGTATTTTCTTAGAGTGGCAAATGTTTCTATATGATTATGGACATGGCTGAAGTTTTGCTTTTGACATGTAGATTGTCAACATAAATGTATAAATGTTTTTCTTTCTAACCATTGAACACAATCCATCTTGCACTAATAAGTCATCTCAACATTTTAAAGAAGTAAAAGCTCAAAATAGTCCCTTGATTATTGATAAATGCCAAATTTAGTCCTATGGTTTTGCATTGCCCCAATTTAGTCTCTCAACTATTATAAATTGATTCAATTCAGCCCTAAAACCTATAATAAGAGTTAAAGTTAATTCCAAAATTAAATATGATGGCATTTTAGGTATTGCAAGTTTATATGAGATTATATTGTTTATATTGTTATACTTATCATTTAATAAATTATAAAACATAATTACTTTGCCAAGTTTGATGAACTTATACTTTGCAATAATTTTGACAAGATAAAGCTCAAAACTTATGTATTATGATGTTTGAAATCTTATTTTGCTAAAAAAACTTTGAATTGATTTCTACAATATCAAAAATTTTGTTGAATAGATCGCGATTGAAGCTCAACGTGATTGACCACGGTTGCTTGTAGCAGCAGGCATCTCGCTCGTAGCTGCACGTGACCCATGATGTGGAATCAATGCATGCCTTCTCGCCAGCCT